CTGTGTGTCTGTCCGTCTCCACTCCTTTCTTACCTTAAAGTCAGAAATGACATTTTTAAGCTGCATTCCTTATCATGTCGCTGTCCTACTTAAAACCCATGTCTTCATACTCAGCATAAAGAGCCACATCCTTATCACAGTTATGGTGCTCCTGCAACCTGATCTTGTTCTCCTGGCCCCATCATGACCATATCATAATCCCATTTTATACCTAGCATACTATATGTCACAGTATGTCACCATTTCTGATCATCCTTTTGTGTGATTGAGTCATGTCTGTATTCCCCCCAGACTGTTAGCTCCCATAGGCAGGAACCACATCTGTATTGTTTGTATTGAGTCCTCACGATCTACCATAGTGTTTGCACATAATTATGAAAACTAGTTTTACTTAAATCATTTTTTAATTATCTATTCTCACAGTTAGCCAGAATTATTTTATTTTTAATGAAATATTTTTCTTTTATGTTTCCTTATATTAGGACCTTGAATATGTAAGCACATAAATGCAGCATATTTATGTTTAATAACTTTTGTATGATTTCTAGTATTTGTTCATAATAAGTTATCTCCTACATGACATGCCCTATTCCAAGTTTTTACAGGCATTATTTTATTCAGTTCTCATAGTAGTCATCTGAAAGTAGATGCTATTTTCAGCTCCACTTTTCTAACATGAAGCTTCAGAGAAGTAATTAGACTGACGGGATACCTAGGATTCAAACCAGTTTGTCTATGATTCTTCATGACTATGCCTTATTGCTTTTTAGAAAGCAAATGCATCCTTAGAAAACCCTGTTTCACTGTTGAGTCATTTCTTTGTCATTCTGTCATTTAGCCAAAAGACATTTACCAAGTTCCTATGTGTAAGGATGTGTAAGGCAGTGTGAGGGGCACTAGGGGTGTGGACAGTTATCACAATAGACACAGTCTCGTCCTGTGCCACATGCAACATAGAACGGGAAACAGACAGCCTGTTGGTCCACCCAAGAGTGCGCACTACATGCTGTGATGGGGAAGGACAGAGCTCTAAGGTGGTGCATGTGAAGGGTATAAAACCTGGAGACAGGTTTCTGATCCAGCCCAGAAAGATATCCTTGAGGAAGTGATGTTGACAGATATCCTTGAGGAAGTGATGTTGACACCAAGGTAGAGTAGATGAGATGTAGATGACAATACACAGGGGCTAGATGAAAAAAGAAAAGAAAGAAAAAAAAACTGCAATCCTTGTTTAGATTTCAAATTAATGGGAAGTTATTAAACGACTTTAAGCAGCATACAATTTTTTTTTGTTGTTTTGTTTTGTTTTGTTTTTGTTTTTTTTGTGATAGAGTCTCGCTCTGTCACCCAGGCTGGAGTGCAGTGGCACAATCTTGGCTCACTGCAAGCTCCGCCTCCCGAGTTCACGCCATTCTCCAAGCAGCATACGATTTTAAGCAGCATACAAGTGACATGTCAAATTACAGTTTAGAAATCACACACTGGTATGTGATGTTCCCCTTCCCGAGTATAATAATAAAAAAAAAAAGAAAGAAAGAAATCACACTCTGGCTGCAGTGAGTAGAAAGGGAGTACAGAAAGAATGAAGAACTGACTCAGCCAACCAGTAAGCATGATAGCATTGGGTAATGAAATTGGGTGGTGGCAATAAAGGCTCATGGAAATGGCAGGATTACAGTGATGTTTAGGAGATATACAGTCCATAGGACTTGGTCATTGATAGAAGCCAGAAATTAAATCTCCCTGGAGGGAGAATAGGGAGCGGGAGGATGGTGGCATTCACCAAGGAAGGGAATCCCAGGGCTGGCAAGGGGAGAGATGAGTACAGGCTGCTCACACTGAGGCTAAAGTACCTAAAGAACCCTTATGTGGGCATGCATATGTGGGAAACTTTATGTAGGCCACTCCTGCGGTCACTCCCATGGGCCTGGATAATTCCACCCCTGGGAATTCTAAAAGGGTTTCCTGTTCCTTACAATGGCTCATCGAGAGAAACTTAAGCATCCAGATTCCCTTCCTCTACCAGTAGCCATTTAGCTTTCTTAACATATACCCATCTCCCTCCCATGCTCAAGTTCCCAGTCCATGCTCCTCTCCCCAGATGCCTGTTCCCCAGATGCCTCTCCCCAGATGATCCACAACCAGGAACTGGGTGAGAATGGGTCACAGGGACCAAGCAGGATGACAGGCTGGATGTCATCAGCACTGCTGTCTTTGCATCCTGCACCCAGACACATCCTGATGACTAGATTCAGAAAATTCAGATCAAATCTATAGGGAGTAATTAGAGGAATCCCAGCTCTTTCCCACTAGAATTTTAATTAATTAATTAATTTTGTTTATGAATGCCATTTCCCTGGGAGTGTTTTGCTTGCTAGATTGAAGAGTTGGATAAATAACACCAAGAAATACAAATAATTTCCTTGTTGATTAATTCTTGATACACAGAGAAGGTTGCAAATTTGGAATCACTGAAATCTGAATTTTTCCAAAGCTAATAAATATTTAAGTATTTTAGTTGGTATGTGATTTGTACTTATCTGCTCCAAATCAGAGATATATTGCAGTATATTTTTCTTTTGACATGACTCACATTATTCACTTGTTCATCTATAATGCATTGTCTGCTAGGTACCAGGAACTACCACTTTTTACTCTATGCATTTTTCCCTTTTAGGAATGCCAGCCCCATTTTATAGATGAAGGAAGTGAGACTCTAAGTCTTAGAGGCTAAGAGGTCATGCACTTGTCATAGAAGAGCCAGATTTGCAACCTAGGTCTTTGGACTCCAAGTCCAGTGCTCCTTGAGTGCAGGTATCTTCCCTTCATAACATAAAAGATTATTTTGAGTAATTGTTAAAAGTAACAGCAAAAATACAAGTAAAGGACACAGTAACGGTTCTATGTAACCTGTTTTTTGGTTTTGTTTTTTTAGTGCAGGGATTTGCATAATCCACTTATCTCTTAGATCTCAATATGCACACAAAGTTAGTTATGAGAGCCACACTTTAGGATTTTTTTTCATCATGCCTATTTTAAAATCAGAATGTCTGCACAGGTTGCTGTTTCTCTTAGGGTCCTGTGATTAGAGATCCTGCAATTAAACTTAGCCTGGGAAAAGGATCTGACTTCAAAAGACTATTGGCTAGTTGGCCCATTTGTTATTATAATGGAAGAAATTGGTGATAAGGTTCTCTTATACCAAAAGTCAGAAACCATAGATCTGTTCTGAAAAGCAAACGTAAAGAGAAAAGCCAAGAAAACAGTTACATAGCTCAATTCATAGTAGAAGCTGATGCTAGTTTTGCTTATTAGGTGTAGAGGCAGGAGTGAGCAATGCGGTAGAAGACAGAAAATAGGGAGCTGTTAGTGAAAAAGTATATATACAGTCCATATTTCTCAAGAACGGAAACTAATTGTTATATTTCATTGAGAATAAACAAAATATTTATTTGCAAATGCAAAAGCATAATGAAAAGTCAACCTTAAATGGTGAAGATGTGGATAAACTGGAACTCTTGTATACTGCTGATGGGAATGTAAGATGGTTCAACTACTTTTGGAAGATACCTTCGAACTCTCTTTAAAAACTAAACATACACCTACCGTGAAACCCAGCCTTTTCATTTCTAAGTATTTACTTAAATTTGTAATGATTTTAATATTTTAAATCCCTCATTATCTAAGAGAAATGGAAGTCATGTATCTATACAAAGACTTGCACATGATTGTTCATAGCAACTTTATTCATAAACAAAAACTGAAAAATGACCCAAATGTTCATCAACAAGTGAACTGATAACCAAATTTTGATATATCCATATAATGGAATACTACTCAGACCAATACTACTTGGTCCCTGTGACCCATTCTCACCCAGTTCCTGGTTGTGGATCATCTGGGGAGAGGCATCTGGGGAACAGGCATCTGGGGAGAGGAGCATGGACTGGGAACTTGAGCATGGGAGGGAGATGGGTATATGTTAAGAAAGCTAAATGGCTACTATTTCAGCAATACATGTATGAATTTCAAAATAGTTAACACTAAGTCAAAGAATCCAGCCCCCAAAAAAGAGTGTTTACTATATAATGACAGTTATTAAGAATTGAAATTTGCAACAGAAAGCAAATCAGTGGTTGCCTGGAACAGGGAACGAGGATAGATTACAGAGGAGCATGAGAAAACTTTTGAGGGTGAGGACATGTTCTTTATCTTGGTTGTGGTCATAGTTTCTGGGATCTCATAACAAGACCTCAGGTCCAATAGGGAAGAAAATAGAAACCGTTTTCTGGACTACCCTAGTGAAAGTAACCGTGACTTAAATCAGCTGGTAATAATGTAGCCAAGAAACTTCCTGTTCTTGACTAGCCTAGTTCAGTGATCTGTGACTTAGTTCTGCTGCTGGGGCAGTGTGTACATAACTTTTCCTTTTTACCTGGTCTTCCTGCCTACCTTAACTTTCTTTTTTTTTCTTATTTCCAAAAGCATACTGCTAAAAAACACATAAATAAATGAAAACATTTTAAATACTCAAATGTGATTTGGACATCCTTTCAAACACTAGAATTTCAGTGTTGGTCTTTTCTTTTTGAGGGGGCAGGGTGTGCAATGGAGAAATAACTTTTACACCGATAGACTTGGATCTGAATGCCAGTTTTGCCATTGACTCCTCTTCTACCTTTGCATTTGTCAGTTCAGCTTCCAGATCCTCAGTTCTCTTACTTGTAACATAGGGATAATAGCTGTATTTCAAGGGTGACTGTGAAGATTGGAAATACCTATCTATTGTGGTGGTCAGTAAATCATTTGCTTGCTATTATATAATGCACATCAAGTCTTAGAGATAATGCACAGCCTATGTTCATTTACTTATGTTGACCCCCTACAACAGCTGCACACATGTGAGATACCTAGAAAAAAACAGGACAGAGGGACAAGTAAACTAATGTATTTGCCTTCCATGACTCTGGGCTGATGTGTTAACTCTGCTTTAATTGTAGTGCACCTGGTGGACATATGGAATGTCATAGAAGCATTGCGGGAAAATGCTCTGAACAACCTGGACCCAAACATTGAACTCAATGTGTCCCGCTTAGAGGCTGTGCTCTCCACCATTTTTTACCAGCTCAACAAACGGATGCCAACCACTCACCAAATCCATGTGGAGCAGTCCATCAGCCTCCTCCTTAACTTCCTGCTTGCAGCGTTCGATCCGTAAGCACCGTCTGAATGTCTGTTCCTCTCTGCATGTTTGGCTTCCACTTCCTCTCTTACTTGGTCTTTTTCCCAAATAATTTTCTATCTCTCTCTTTTTTTTTAACTCTCTTTTTTTCTTACAGTGGATGCTTATGTCAGTAAAGCCTCCATGTGTTTAATATAAATTTGAAATGCTGTGAAAAAGACTAGAGAGTAAAATGGTGCCAGAGGAACTTGAGGACAGTTGTATTTTATGTACTGACCTTTAGTTAACTCATCCCCTGCTTCCTGGAAGCTGTGGATGCTGGAGAGGATTGCCTGTGGAGCGATTTAATGAAGCGGGAAGTGGGAGGATGTTTTTAACTCTCTTCTTTGCAAATTGTTTCAGACAATGTTTCTGAGGTGTCCTAACAAGGCCCTACAGCAAACAAGAAAGAAATTGAAAAGGGTGTCTTAACTATCCCAGTCAAAGTAACTATGACTTGCGTTAAATGAACTGGTCAATTTAAGTGTTTCAATCATAAAATAATGGGATGCTGTCCACAGACCACAACTGAAGCTCAGCTTCATTTTTGTATAATTTGCCCTTTTAGAATCAGAGAATTTCAGGGCTGCCTGAGACTGTTCATCCAAATATCTCATTTTACAGATGAAGGAATTGAAGCACAAAGAAATTGTCACTTGTTTGGTGTCTCGCAGCATGTTAGTGGCCGAGTGGGGACTTAGGTGTTCAACAAAGGTTTCTTTACCAAGGTATATGTGGATTACCCTGAATTACGTTCTCAGCCTACAATTTCAAGAGGGCTTTTTGCCAGTAGCCTCCAACCTGGACTTAGTACCACCCCATCCACTTCCACTGCTTGTTTTGAATATTAAAAAGGAAAATTGCTAACCTGACCTTTCAGCAGTCGCATTTTAAGATTCTCAGAAGGTGTTACTTAGTCTCATTTTCTGGCCAATGCTTGGAAGTATTTATCCCCGCAGTGGAGATGTTCCAGCCAGGCTCATGTTATTTTGCAATTCACAAAAGCTACCAGCTGTCACTTTGCAACTTACAGTGTTAACAGAATCGTTCCTGCTCAGTTTTTCCAATGTGCATTATTGTGTTCGTGATGTTTATATTTTGAGAAAATCCTCAGTTAAAATCAGCAATTTTACAACTAGCATTCCAGGTTGGTAGATTCTTTGCGTTGGCTGTGCACACTTCAGAAAGAGATGTACTGCTCTGGCTTAATCACTATGGTAACTGGATGGTGAGGCAGGTAAAGAGGACTGTGGTTCCACACGACAGGCAGCAGAAGCAGCAGAATGGAACCTGGCCATGGCATTTCTGTAGCGGCATTTCTAACCTGGCCCTGTGACAAGAGTGTGACAGCTTTCAGATTTCCCCTAAAGATGTCAGGGGAATTATTTGTTAGAAATGTAACAATGGAAACTGCAAAAAGAGAAATATAATATCTCACTAAATCCTGGAGTATTGCTAGAGAACTCATAAAGAATCAAAGCCGCAGAATCATTTGCACCCACTCCACAAATATAGACCAGAAACCAGACTAACAATAAGGAAGGGGGTATTTTGTGAAATATATAGGATTCACACTAATATAGTTAGATTTTTCACTTTTGGTCAGAAATACTGGCTAGATCACTTCTAAATACAGATCTACGAATGGTGTCTAAATAGCTGCTGAAAATATAGCTGAATCATTTCAAGACTGATGAAAAGCTAAGTTTGACATCTATCCCAAGGTCAGGAACAATTCACAAAAAAAGTTCAGAAGAAATATTTATGTGGTGCCTATTCTTCTTACATATAGGAAGCCTCCTGATGTATACTTTCAATAATCTCATTGTAGTAGATTTATAAACTCATCCACATAGACAAATTTCACTGCAAAGATTTATAAACATATCCATGTAGAGATCCTACTCTGCAGACACTTCTGCGTTTGCTCCTTTAGCATAGCAAGTGAGCATAGGCAGTTCTACTGACACTCAGATTTTCCATCTGATAGCATGGAATTTTGGATGTGAGATGTAAGCCATCAGGAAGTACCGCTAACTGGATATGTAACTTAGAAGTGAATATAAGAAGATAAACCTAAGAATAAAATAAATGTTCAAATTCTATTTCTTATAATAGTGAACTCCTATTTATCCAAATGAGACCCAGCGTGGAAATCTGATGCCACTTCCTACCACCTGTCCCATGACAGAGTCCAAGTGTTTAAGGGAACCGTCTGTATTTTGGCAGGCATGAATGATCCTGATACTAGTAAAATAAAGATGTGCTGTTGCTATTACAGAATCACTGAGACATTTAAGGGATTTTCTCCCATTTGCCATATTTTTAATTGACCTATAAATAAACAGGGAAAAAATCCAAAATAAAAATTAGAGATGCCTTAAGAACCTAGACTCTGAAGAAATAATACTAAAGATAAATAAATAAAAAGGAAAGGCAGTATAGTGATTTAAACTCATGAAGAGTAAGAACTTGGATTCAAAGAAACCTGGCCATTTTGGGGGGAAGGGGGTGGTGCCTTAAGATTCTCTAGACTCCCAGGCAGTTGAACTCTGTGAAGAAAGTGGTAACCTGAGATGAGGATTGATGCCTCCTTTACTGGGATGTACTTCTGAGAATCAGACTTACCTTCCCACAGCCATAGCTCCCCAAGTATAACATTCCCTCTCCCACCAAAAAAAAAATCTGGATCTCAATTTTCATACCAGGATGCTCACTGCAGACTGTAATCAGTTTCCTGGTTACAAGGTTTCTCTCTGCTCATCTGATGAAAAGCTAAGTTTGACATCTATCCCAAGGTCAGGAACAATTCACAAAAAAAGTTCAGAAGAAATATTATATAATGCACATCAAGTCTTAGAGATAATGCACAGCCTATGTTCATTTACTTATGTTGACCCCCTACAACAGCTGCACACATGTGAGATGAAACGGAGTTCTCGCTCTGTTGCCAGGCTGGAGTGCAGTGGCTCGATCTCAGCTCACTGCAAGCTCCACCTCCGGGTTTACGCCATTCTCCTGCGCTCAGCCTCCGAGCAGCTGGGACATACAGGCGCCCGCCACTCGCCTGGCTGTTTTTGTGTATGTTTTTTTAGTAGAGACGGGTTTCACCGTGTTAGTCAGGATGTGGTCTCGATCTCCTGACCTCGTGATCACCCGTCTCGGCCTCCCAACAGTGCTGGGATTACAGCTTTGAGCCACCGCGCCCGGCCCAGTCATATAATTCTTTGTAAAATAGATCACACCATGGTAACCATGAACACTTGTGTTTTTTTCTCTGTGGAGCAGAAGTAAAAATAGAGGGTCTGAATCGTAGGTGATGGGGACATCGCTAGTCTTTGTAATATACTGGAGATCAAGGAAGACTTAATCTCAGAAAAGGATAAAAGAAAACTGGCCAGACATGGTGGCTCACACCTGTAAATCCAGCACTTTGGGAGGCCGGAGCAGGTGGATCTCTTGAGCCCAGGGAGTTCGAGACCAGCCTGGGCAATATGGTGAATCCCAGTCTCTACTGAAAACACATTACTAGCCAGGTGTGGTAGTGCACGCTTGTAGTCCCAGCTACTTGGGAGGCTGAGGCACCAAGAATTGCTCGAACCGCGGAGGCGAAGACTGCAAGTGAGCGAGATTTTGCCACTGCACTCCGCCTGGGTGGCAGAGTGAGACTGGTCTCAAAAAAAAAAAAAAAAAAAAAAAAAAATTAGTTAAAATAAATGTATGACAAGAGCTAAGAAAGATCCAACCTTGGATTTTCATTCATTAGATTCTTCTTGTGTTGGGCTTAGGTCTCAGGTTCTGTTCATTAGAAGGTAGAATAAAATACTGGTCCTTTCCTAAAGAAGTCTTGTGGGAGGCAGTCCATATAAACAGTCAAGACATGCACTATAAGACACAATAGAGAAATCAGGTGCAGAAGCGGCAGACCTGTGGAAAGGTGATCAACTATGCCTATGGCGCGCGAAGGGCTCCACCAGAGCCTCAGAGTTTTGTGGGGGACGCAAACCTCTCCAAAGGCGTGTTTCACATTATAGACTTTTAAGAATTATTTTCATCTTCTAATTTTTTGAGTTATTCTCTATTTCCTACAAAATAATAAGAACATTGTTAAGTCCTTTGAAGACCTTCAAAGATATTTCCCACTCCTCAACAGGAATATGGAAAAGAGGTGACGAAGAGCTGCTGCCAAGTTGCTGGGGGGATTCTGGAGGAGACGGAGGGGATGGAAGGATCCTGGCAGCAAAGCAGGTGTGAGTGTTGTGGCAGTCCTGAGGGTGTGGATGATGGGGAAAAGGTACAAGAGGAAGAGACTGGCTCACAACTCGGGCTGCTCTCACATATGTTCTTCCCTCCATCAAGCCCCCTGGCCTTTTCTGTTTTTTATTTTCCCGATCTCTTTTCCCATTGCCCAGCACACTCAATCCATTCCCCCTAAGCACACTTTAAAAAAATAACATCTGGCCGTGGAGAGATTTGCTTGAACTTGGTTGTAACATTGGCTCTCTGAGGTGACCCCTCCTAGGAATCACAACGCCTTTTTAAAAGGAATGTCACATAGATCTGACTCAGGAACTGTGTCTTCCAGGACGATTAGCAGAAGGGTAAAACATTGGTGTGTCACTGTACACACTTGTCAAATCATCTACAGATGTAGTTATAGCTTTCTGGGGCTGGACGTTGCCGATGAGCAAGAGAACACCTTGTAACCAGGAAAGACATGTTACAGTCTGCAGTGAAGCATCCTGGTATGAAAAATTGAAGATCCAGATTTTTTTTTTTGGTGGAGAGGGAATGTTATACCTTGGGGAAGTATGGCTGTGGAAGGTAAGTCTGATTCTCAGAAGTAACATCACCAGTAAAGGAGGCATCAATCCTCAATCTCCAGGGTTACCACGTTTCTTCACAGAGTTCAACCTGCCTGGGAGTCTAGAGATCTAAGGACCCACCCCCCTTCCCCCAAATGGCCAGGGTTTCTTTGAATCCAGTTCTTACC